TTATCTTAATATCTCTAAACGAAGTTACCTGTGTGGTCTGAAAATAAACATGTCAATAATGTTTGTCCCGGTGGGGTGACCGATGAGGGTACTTGCTGTAGTTTGCATCTTTTGGTTTTATGGGACAGAGACAACATAGGTTACTCAAGAGTTCTATTATAAAGAGGTGAGAAATAACAAAGGCACTGGGAGGGCAGGGGGCGAGATGGAGTTGGTGACCCTAACTCTGGGGTCTGGGCCCTCTCCTTTGCACTAACTCAGCCGTGAGGGTTTGCAAGGCCCCATCCCAGCACAGATGGTGAGTTGGCTGATGGCTTTGATAGTCTTTTAATTTCCCCACCTACTGACCTTTCTACTTACATTTCTCTAAAGGTCGGGTCGGCTACGTTTCTAGAGCTCAGTTCTGTCTTGTGACATCCTTTCTGTTAAGTGCTTCTCTTGCTCATGATACCAAGTTTACTGCTTTTGCGAGCACATCTGGGTCTTGAACCCCATCATTTGTTCCTATGAATGAATGGACTCCTGCCTTGATTTTGAAGGGCCACTCAGCCAACACGTGGCTCTCCAGTGGTACAGCAGCTGTCCACAGGGGGAAGAGTCCAGGAGGTACAAACATAGCCCTGAGATACGCCCCTTTCCCTGGGGTGGAGGGGAGCAAGTTCCCTTGGAAGTGGAATATGTTGTATAAGAGCTTGACTTCATGCTCTCCTTGAACTTAAATAATGTTTGACACTGTCTAAAGATGTGGCCTTAAGTGACTCAGTTGAACTGTCTGAGGTTTCTGCATCAGAGAAATGAGGATAATTCACACCTCGGAGTATCACTGTCTTAAATAACCAAATCACAGGACTTAGCACAGTGCCTGCCACAAATTAAACCCTTGCCAAGTGCTAGCTGTATCCCCATGAGGAGGAGGTCGAGCGCAGGCACCACTAAGCAGGTGTCCATTAGCCGTGGCTCAGCTCCTTGTGTGAGATGACCAATACCACCAAGCCCTTCCTCTCAGGGCGCACCTGCTTCCTGAAAATAGGCAGCATCCACCATGACCCAGGGGATCACTGAACGACTTCCTGAGGAATCAGGAAACCACCGTCTCTTATCAAGTTAGTCTT